TATATATATCTTTTGTAAATATTGATCCATCTTTGACTGCAGTGTATGTGTTCAGTTTATGTATTGTAATTCAGACCTCAATTGTCTTAAAGAGGATCACATGCCAAAGAGGTGTTTGTCGAAAACTTACAAGTCTGATTGCCCTTTCGGTTCTACCTACCACATCAAACAAGCGAAATGATGGCCCTCCTGAGACGGCCTATTTGCACAGTTTTCCCTGGTGGGGTTTCTTAGTGTACCGTGAAATACTCATTAGCCAGCATAAATACACTCCTCATTGTTCTATCCTGAAAGGGGAAATATGGTTGAAACTTTCCACCATTTTGTTTTCAATATGTACACTTCAAGTCAGCAAGCTTTATGCCTTGTATCAGTTCAAATGAAATAGAACAAATAGAACAATCTTGCCAGTTTGTGTTGTGAAATAGAACAAATAGAACAATCTTGCCAGTTTGTGTTGTGTGTACTTCACCTGAACACACACACACGATACTTACATTGTTTTTATTACAGTACTGACATTTTCTAGGTATTTAAATATATAGGTTGCTTTCACATAGAAATAAATATTATTCTTGAATCTAAAAGCAACAGAAAACTGGGTGCCCAAGATTTTCCTAGGCATTTCTTGCATGCCTATTCAGCTAAGCATCCAGATGCACAATTATTTCCAGATAGGAAATAGGGCTCGTTCTTCTCTTCTGTAGTCCAGGCTGGGCAGAGAGCTGCTGTCCTCTCTTCTGTTGAGCAGATGGGGGCTCTGCACTGTGAGAGTCAAATTCTCAGTCAGGTTGGGGTGAATGTGGGTGGACAGCAAGGTGTCATGAACGCCCGTAGGCTGACCTGGTTTCTGGTCAGCTCAGCAAGGTTATGGGGGAAATGATTGATGGCAGGGGCTTACCAATTTATTTTCAAACTAGCAAATTCACGTTATATTCTTATTAAAGTTTAGTTGGACCAAGATACAACTCATGTTTGTATGCATCATTTACTATAGCACCACACAGCCAATAAACAGCGCATCCTAAACAGACATGATGAAACATTGAGATTGCTTCATTTGTTCACCTCTAAGAAGGTCTTCCACTGAAGACGAACCCGGCTTTCATAATACTCAGCAAGTCTATCCAGGAAAGGTTACAACTGTCAGGAAAAAAAGATGGGAGTCTCACACACCTTAGAGCTGTGTGAGGGACCGAAATTCCCCAAGTTGAACTTGCTCCAGTAGTTTTTTAAGATATAGAGCGAAAGGCAAGAATTAAAGACCATTCACACATTGCACTAAGTCATGTTCTGCTTAAGAATAGTTTATTGAATAAGCCACAATTGGCCAGGGCTATACAGCGGGCTCATCCATAAACTATAGTTGACGAATTAGTATCTGGGTTCACTTATTTATGTTTTATTTCTTTATAAGATTTATAAACTGCCTCCTTCAAAAGGCTCTAAGTGGTGTGCAAAGTCAAGCATAGTATGAAGCACAATGTAATTTTTTTTTAAATAAGAAAATTGACATTATTAATAGTACAGTTCTTCTTTCAGCTCCTTAATTAATTAAATGCCAGGTTATAATTATTTTCCAGAAAGCTGGGCAAGTGGGGGCCATTCTCAGCATGGGAGCTAGGAGTTCCAAAGAAAGGGACCAGCCACCAGGCTCTCTCACTGCAAACTTCTCAAGAGGAGGGGACTATATTATGCTGAGGTCAAACAAGCCACCATATGGTTTTTCCTAATGTATGAACCCTATCAGTATGGAAACAGAATCTTTCCACATACAATTAACCTGTGGGACATAGGACAGGGGGGCTTAAAGAAAAAATGCCCTTTCAGACAGTAGGGCTACCAGGTCTGGGTTGCCAAAATCAGGATGATCATGGCAGGACTGTGGAGAGACAGATGTTTGCAGCCCAGATCTTGTAGCCCAAACAGAATCAACTTGTTATTAAAACTCAGGGCTTTCATTCCACTCCCATGATTCCTTTTCTCTCCCATGCTATAAGCAGCATTTTTCCACAATCCAAAGGAAGAAAGAACTCCCAGTGTGGGATGTCCCTTATAACTCAGAAGCTTGTCGTACCATAAGTGTCTCTTTTGAGTTCAGCTTAACCCTGGATGACTTTATGGACATGAATCTTTCTTGGCAAAAATATGTAAATGTATTTACCACAATCTTCTTCCAGAATGTTTTCTTCTACTTCTCAATCTAGCTTATAGCCCTGGGACTTCCTGGTGGTCTCCCATCCAAATCTTAATCAGGCTCACTCTCCTTTACTTTCCTGAGATCAGCCAATGTCGACCAGGTGCTGCCATCTAATGGGGCACATATGCCTTAACAATCCATTAAGTTAGGACAAGAATGCCATTACAGTACTGGAATTTATCCAACTGAATATTAACAGAACACTCACATAATTACCTACAATATGCTTACTCTTGGTTGCAAGGCTCTGTTCATCAGCAGGGGCCTGAGCTTCAGGAAAAAAGCAGGATGTACACGTAGCAAATGCTAAAAGATGGGATGGCCAGCATCTTTAGAGGGAACTTTGTTGGGATATACCAGGGTAGCTGCCTCTAAGGTCACAGCTTAGCTACTCAGGATACAAACACTGATGAATTTTGGATCAGGGATCAGCTATTTTTCAACTAATTTATTTGGTGATCTAAGAGAAATGCTAGAGCCCTCATTCCTGTAATTTCAATGCCAATGAATTCTCATTTCAATTGGAAACAGATGGCGCTACACAAAGATTCCTCAATTTGTCCTATTGTAATTATATTTTAAAAAAAGCCTTTCCTAAGGCTTACATGGGTTTGAAAGCAGGAGTGAATTTAGCAGACAGACTATTTGCTTCATTTTATTTGTACCCTGATTTGACAGACCAACATTTATGTTTTCAGTGTATAAGATTTGTATAAACTAACATCTAATAAACTTGTTGGCCTCGGTGAGTAATCAGAAAGCTTTATCCCTCCTCTGATGAAGAGTTCCAGAGTTACATAACTTTGCAGCTTTTGGGACTGGCAAAGAACATTCACGATGCATCTCCAATCTTTGTTTCTGGGGGTTTTTCCAGTCCTTTTCCCAATATGAAAAATCTTTTGTACATGAGAACTGTTAAACAACAGTGTTTTAAAAAAAACTGTTTTGGCTTTTCTTGGGAAGCGATCCATGTAAAGCACAATCCCATTTCTAATGTCTCCTAAAGATCAGGAAGCAGCTGAGGAGAATGACTCTTCTTTCCATGTGACCCAATTACCTTTATCAGGTGAGTCAAAAATAATGTTGGGTTGGTTAGTTGGATAGATTGTTTGACCAGTTAAGGCTGCTTCTTAGGTTCCCATTATCCACATTTAGGGATATCCTCTGGTATTGTTAGGACACCTCTGCCAATTCTCAGTAGACCTGCTTCAACTCAATGACTCAGAAACATGCCATAACAATGTTTGATCATTACATTAACAAGAATGACTAAAAGTACAACCACTACAAAACAGCATCTGATAAAATGCTCAGGGTAGATATGTCTGTGGTACGTAATTACTATATGTTTAAATTGTAAACTCCCAAACTGCCACTGGTAACTTTTGGAAAGCCTACACAAGATAGATTACAGTTACTTTCCATGGCAGCAGCTGAGACGCTGAGAAGGTTTGCTGTTTATGGGTAAGTAATCCATTATCTGCCAGTCCCTCATGACCACACTTTTTCAAATTTGCTGGCAGTGCCAATCTCAACCACATAAAAGCAGAAACCATAAATATAAGAACACCTGTCATTTTTTGGTGCAATTTTCTGAACAAATGGCATGTCTGATAATGCAAAATCACAAATGCCACTATTCTCCAATCTTTGAATTTGTACACAAGTATTTTGGGCACTAGAAAATCCTAATTTATGCTGTTATTAAAATCTGTGCCCAAAAGCACTTTTTCTATTCTAAATATCAGCACATAAACACAACTTTAACCAACAACGTTTTGATGTGGTTAATGAGAAATGCAAAAATAATTTTGCAATCATTCCACTGCTAATGTGAAACTAGGCTATTTCAATCTTTCCAACCCCAACCTTTTATTCTTGTTCCAAGTTACAAAGAATAAGTTAACTTTTTTAGTGAACAACTTTTATCATGTTGTCATTTGCCTTAGCAAGAAACAAATACCTACAGGATCCGTAAGCTGAAATTAAATACTGGGATGGATCTGCTGTCTACTCTCTAACTAGAAGAACTACCAGCTTCACTAGGAATTGTGCTGAAGCAGCAGTTCTGAAGGCTAGACTGTCTGTGATTTTCAAGGATGCATTCCTAAAATTATGTTCAAGTTTGCACAATTTCGGATTTGTAGCCTGAGGCTTCGTTGACAATATTTTTTCCTTGTGCAAGTTCTTTGAGGGTAAGTCTGTGATAGCTGCATTCCTGCTTTTGCTAGACACTAGCAAAAGCAGGAATGAGGACAGAGAGGTAGGAAGATTGCATCAGTGGGTAGCATGGTATTCTTATGTCCTCCTTTTCTTCTGGTGATTGAATCCACCAGCAAGTGCAGGAAGAACACAGAAGCACAAAGCTATCCATTTCTCCCAGATGACAGTAAAACGCAGCATAAATGCAGTTTGTGTGTGCAACTCAGCACAAAGGGGAACAAACGGAAACATCTTTTAAAAAGAAAAGTTGCTTCACATTTCTTGTAGAACCCAATTACAAGCATGTTTGAAAACTGACATTAGCACTGAAATAAATAAAAGCCAGTTACTTAACAGGAACATTAATACTGTATAGAGATACTGTTCATATGATTTTAATCTGGAGCAATAAATAGGCACTTCAATTAAAGTCTGCATTTACTGCAACAGCCTAAATGCAGTAAATCACCGACAAGCATTGCTCTATTACAATGGCTGGAGGATGGCAACCACTTAGAACCCAAATGCCAACATGGATTATAGCAAATCCAATGAGTATTTTGTTTTTCAATTATTCAGAGAAAATTTAATCCTGATTAAGTATCCTTGGGCAGGAATGCATGGGTAGTTGATGACTGAAACTAACATTTATTTGAAATGCTTCTACTGTATTAATTTAATCTGCGGCTATGGCTTAATTATGACTGAATCCTTGCTGAATTCTATCAGGATTAAAATTCTAGTACTGCATCACACATTTCATTTTTTTCTCCTCAGTTTAAGAGGCACAAGCCTGATACTTTATAACCATGCTGCTGTGGGTTTTTTTTTTTAAACTTAGAGTTAGTTAATCACCCTTCTGCTCTTGTAAAATGTCAAACACAGAATTAAAACACAACTGGCAATCAAGCTAAAAACTGAACTACATCCAAGCCTCAAGGCAAGAAAGTGATAATGAGAACTATTGTTCACTGTAAACATTATACACTGGTTTTATGGACCTATTACAGTTTAAGTCCTATTAAACTTCTGCACAAATATTTTGTTTCAAAGCCACCTTAAACAAGATGTGTATTATCTGAATTGCAGAACTGTTCCATCCAATTAGTTTAAATTTATCATTATTTAAATTTGAACTTTAATGTAGATGAAGCAGCTTTGGAGTGAAAATGTGGCTAAAATCACATGGTCTTTATCCAAATAGCAAGAAAAACAAGATATTTGCTCATCACTATTTTTGATAAAATCCAATCACTTCTGCATTTGTTGAGATCCAGTGAGAGCAAAATGCTGTCTTTTAATTATTTAGCTCTTCTTGAGCTGGGCTCACTGCTGAAAATAGCTGCACGATTTCCAAGTCTTTATTGCACCTTTGCCAATCAATCTCCAAAGGGATCTCAGAAGTGATGCCGACTTTTATGTCCAGATGCTACTGTTAGCGGCAATGTCACTGAAGAGAGGGAGGAGACTTCCCAGTAAAGACTATGGGAAACAAAGAGTCGGTACAGAAGGACCATGGAAAACAACTGGCAGAGGATGACACCCATGGTAATAATCTAAGAGGAAACAAGAAAGGAAAAGTGAGTGAGAAACAGAATACCGTTCATACAATGAACAACAATGAACATGCAATTCATGTGAATTTTACTGGATGTAAGTATGGGTACAAATCTCTTAAGGCATCATGAAATGAAAGAACAGTTTATGCCAAGGATAATTTTTTTTCCCTTTCACACCTTGCAAATGTGCTCTAGAGGACTGAAAGTTTGCCTGGAAGGAATATATAGAATATCTGAGAGATGGAGAGGGAAGGAGAATGGGAGGTACAGTGAAATCTTGTTTTAACTGATTAATTGCAGGGAAGGATGTCTGCTATTCCCAAAGGAATGGAAAATCAAAGATTGCATCATCACAGCAACGTATCATTTACACTGTTTAAGTGATGTTATTATACAAGTTATGTAAATTGCACAGAATCTGTAGCATGAAGGTCTAGAAAACTAAAATTTAATTTTACCATTGCATGAACCAAAATATGCTCACATAATGGAAAATCACAGCTTCAGATGGTCTACAAAGTGTCTTTAATTCATATTACCCACAGAAAAGACATAATTCCACACATTCCACAAAAACATGGTTTATTTAACAAGCCATAATGGCTTCGTTCACGTACAATGTTAAGCTATTATTATTCTGTAGTAATGGTTTACAAAACACTGTGTCTGGGTAAGGGTCACACATCAAAATGGGATGGGCATGTTTCAGGTCCCATCAGCCAAGGAATGTTGGCTGGCAGGGACCAGGAGATGTGCCTTTTCTGCTGTGGTGCCTGCCCTCTGGAACATCCTCCCTCCTGAGATTAGGATGGCCCCGACCCTTTTTGCTTTTCAGAAGGCCTTGAAGACCTGGCTTTATGGCCCGGCCTGGGGCCCCAAGTGTACAAAGGGCCCCATTTCATGGTTGTGCTGACACCGACAGTTTTTTAAGATCTCTTGGCTGTATTTATATTTAATTTTCTGTATTGTTTTAAGTGTTTGATTGTTTTTATTATTGTTAGCCGCCCAGTCACTAGTCTGAGATGGGTAGCTATATAAATTGAATAAACAAACAAACAAAATTATATGGCTTGGTGTAGTACATGAAACTGGCCGTTGAACTGCGGTTCCACTACTTTATCTCCACAGTACTAAAACATGGTGTAGCCTGGATTTAAGCCAATAATCTCAGAAAATGTCCTTCACATTTGATTTTCCAACTGAACTTTGATTAACAGAGAGAAAAGCGTAGTGGGCAAACCAATCTTCATTCTTTCCTTTTCTACTTTGATTGTTATGGCCAGATTCAGGATCCTTCCTCTGATCTCCCAGAGCTTCAGGCTGGGTGTGCAATTTCCACTGCCTTGAGGATGGAACTAGGCTTTACAGGGCGGGTTAAGGGTGTATTTCAAAAATGGGCAGGTCCAGGTTCCATTTGGGGAGGCAGCTCAGGAGCTTTAAGGAGTGACACAGGTGCCTTAAGTCATCCATTTTTCCACCCAAAACCTTCCAAATCCGAAAAACACAAGACAAACTCTTTTTTTCTCTTCTCACTGGAGTGGGGGGTACTCTAGGAGGCCACAAAAGGCATGCTGGAAAGCCATGATGCAACTTCTTTGCAGTGCTATTTGCCCTCCTTTTTAGGGCTATTTATAATCATTTAACTACCAACTCAGATAATCACTTTTATCAGGACCACCCTTTATCTGGCTTAGCCAAACACAGAACAAATGTCAGGAGAATAGTAGGACTGCAATCCTAACTTGCTCTCAAGGCCAGCTTAGTGAAATACACACAGCAAGGACAAGCTAAATTAAAATGTGTTGAGTCCTTATCCCAGTGTTTCTCAGTTCTGAAAAGCACCCCAGTGTATTGTATATACGAACCTTCTCTCGCTGATAGTCTCTAAACATCAGAGATACAGTTACAAGACTTGGATGACATAAAAGCCACAGAATGCATCCCTGGAAGAGAGAAGACACATTGGGCGTCAGCTACTGACATCTGGCAGCATCAATGGTTTATGGCCCCCCAGTGAGACACTTTCCCATTGTCAAAACCCAATTTTTTCTAAATTAACTATTCTACATCAAGAAACAGAAAGTTGTAAGGACGCTGACGGAAGTATACCTTAAAAAAGTATTTCCTAAGCAATCCAGAGCATTTTTATTTTCATGTAAATGCACACTTACATGGAAAGAAGCCTCATTAAGATCAATACAACTTTTTTTTTTTTTTGTCTGTGCTCAGTCATTACTGACCCTGCAGTGACTGCTTGGACGAGT